CCCCCTCCCTGCCCCCTTTGCCTCAGGGAGCCATGCCAGGGGCTGGCGTCTGACCACCCCCTGGCCCTGCCACTGGAGCAGTGAGGGTGGGGAGAGACCCTGACAGAGGCGGCAGCCCCTGTCATGGTCTCCTGGGGAGCACAAGCGTCTTCCCGGTGGTGGGGGGCTGCACTGTGCGCAGGAGCAGGGCTGGCAGAGCTGCCACAGCCTGTGTGGCATCAGTGGTTGGGCTCAGAGGGGGGGCCATGGAAGGGCTAAGCCAAAGTTTGGGGTGGACATAGCCCCCTCCCCCCCACCCCCCCCAAATCCCCTCACTTGCCCTGTGCAAGCTGCGGCAGCTCTGTCCACCCCATCCCTGCCTGCAGTGCAACCCCCGCACAACATTGGGAAGAGGCTTGTGCTCCCCGGGACACCATGACAGGGGCTGATGCTCCTGTCAGGGCCTTTCCCCCTTGCTGCTCCAGCAGCAGGGGCATGGGTATGGCCAGATGCCAACCCCAGTAAGGCCCTCTGAGGCAAAGTGGGTAGGGAGGGGGTTTATTCCTTCCTCCCTCCCCTCTCCCCCCCGGTGACCCTAGCTGGGGTTTGTCTGGCTGGGGGCAAGTGGCAGAGGCAGCAGCCAGGGCTGGCAGACCCTGTCTGCAGTCCCCCAGTGGGAGAGGGGAGGGAGGTGGGAATAAATCCCCTCCTTTCGCCTTAGGGGGGCATGCTGGGTCTATGTCTGGCCATGCCCCCACCTCTGCTCCAGCTAGGAAGCAGAGGGATGGGGCCAGTCCTGCTCTCTGGAGCAGGGAGGACAGCCCAGCCCAGGGCTGAAAAACATGCTGAGATGCTGGGGGACTGTGATTTAACTTAAACCAGGAAGGGTCTGGGATAGAAGTTCCATAAACTGGTTTGACCTCAACCAGTTAAGTCTGATGTTACATTCAACCTGGTTTATCTTAAACCAGTTTCTTCCATTTTGAAACTGGGTTATGTGCACTGAACTTTTGTTTTGTTATAGGTTTAAATCAGTTTCTGATCACTTAAACTGGTTTATGTGTAACTTCTGTCCCTAGCCTAAAAGGCTTGCTCCAACCTCCCCCTGGAATCATTGGCAGTCTTTCCATTGGCTTTAATGGAGTTTGGATTGAGAATGCTGGCTGGGTTGCTCACAGAAGAGACAGTCTACAGAAGCATTCGAAACAAAGTTTAGCATAAGGACATTGCCTTTTCTATTATACAGATTTTGCTTTTTTATGATGACTTAAGGGGGGAAGGAACATTTAATGCAGCTGTCTAATGAGGTAGAACAGATTTTTCTCCAGAAAATAACAGAGAAATGATCATGGCATCCCTTATATAATGCACATTGACATGGGAACAAAAGTAGAAAGAAAGACAAAACTAAACCAACAATGACAATTGAATCGAATCAACACTGACACACATAATAGCCTGGGGGAAAAGAGCACTGGCTGATGAACCAGAAGACTTCTGGGAAAGAACAATTCAATGGTGGAGGGTGGGGGAGAATAAACATTAGCTGAAACCTTTGCTTTGAACATTCAGCGTGAGATTTTAGCTAGTATTGCTGTTCACCGAACTTGTACCAAAGAGAGATCCTTTTTGCCATCCTTTTTAAGGAGTAACTATGGAGACAGGAGTATTTGGGCCATGTACATGACAAAAGCCAAGCCATTACTGGAGGTGTTTCAGTTGTGCCCCAAGACATGTGGCTTTTCTTAGGCTCAGAAATGGGGGTCTGATTCAAAGCCTGATAGAATCTAAAGTAGTCTTCCCATTAACTTCAATGGACACTGATTAGACTGTGAAACCAAGGTTCCTGACCACCTTGTATTCATTTAAATCAGTTGCTTACAACCTTTTTAAACTTGAGGCAGCTTTTGGAAAATGCCAGTTGATGACAGCTAAATAATAATACAGTTCTTCTGTTGCAAAGAACTCAAAAGACTACAACCGGTCAATATGGTTTTAAAATGATGAATTCCTATTTGAAATATCTAGGTTTATCCTGTGAATGTTGCATGGCATCCTTGAAAAGATCTGAATGGTACCCTGGTTGAGAATCTCTGCTTTAAATATTCCATAGCCTCTCTTGCATCAGGAAGCTGAGATGGTATCTATGGTGTGTGGGCCAAATTATAATTTGGCTAATTATAACCTTCCTAGCAAACTATTCTGTACCCTCCCTCTTCCTCCCCCCCCCACCCCCATTATTTTGCAGTGTTTGTAGCAAAGAGACATTTTCTCTCTCTTCTCCCCAAAAGAGGAAACATTTCAATGCTGGTTGGTTGATCTTTTTCTATACAGTTCTTAAACAGCATCAAGAATCTTAATGAGAAAAGCAGTATAACATAGAAGGTGTTAGGATTAATAATTATGGTAGTTGTCTCCTTCCTCACTGAGAACTTCTTTTGTGGATTTTCTCTGCTTAACGCTTTGATGAAGCCTAACGTATGAAAGTGAATAGTATCTGCCATCATGTAAACTAGACTTTGATTGACGTTGGCATTGATTGACATCTGATATAACTTCCTGAGACCATTTGTATGTGTTCTTGACAATGATGGAGAAGTGTTGTTCCAATGCACCTCATGTCCCCTGAGACAGACTAAAACCTTGGCTTATTTTTTAGCAACATCTTTTATTATAACAGCTTTAATTACTTCTAGCATCTTTTCAATAAAACGAAATTGTGTTGTATCTTTAAATCAAATCTCTGAGCCAAATGATACTATAATGAATTTCATTAAGCACTTTTCTAATGCTTGGGAATGGAACTGCCCAACTGTGTCTTATAGCTTCTGGTCTGATATATTCTTTGTTGCTATTTGGAGACCTCTGAGAGCCACAAACCCCTGTAGATTGCATTAAAGTAAAAATTAAGATTGAAAGTCACAGGTACCTCTGTCTTCACAAGGTCTTGGAAATTCCCTTGTACATGCTGTTAACATGAACTGTGCCCTAGAATTCAAGAGTATCTCTGCCCGCAGCTCTAGATTACAGTGTATCTCAGTATGTTGCTGTACTGTAGACCAGTGGTCTCCAAAGTGGGGTGTGCGCACCCCACGGGGTGCACAAGACGATTCATTGGGGTGCGGGAAGAAAATATTAGAACTTCTATTTAGATGTATATTTATGTAAATATACATATATTGGGGGTGTGTGCTCAAAAAATTTTTACTGATAGGGGCACATGATCAAAAAAGTTTGGAGACCACTGCTGTAGACCATGCTTATATGCCTGCCCCATTCCACCTTCCAATTTCCCTCAGTGTCACTCTCCTTCATGCAGGTTACGTCAGCTTTGGAGCCCAGCTGTGTCCTCACATGGTTTTGTAGATCTGGGTATCTGTACACTGTGCTGGCCTTTTCTACTCCTCACCTCTGTTTGTGTCTCCCTTGCAGGTATGGATGGATGCAGGCACTCAGATCTTCTTTTCTTATGCCATTTGTTTGGGATGCCTGACAGCTTTGGGCAGCTACAACAAATACCATAACAACTGTTACAGGTAACTGGGACACAATTATATTCTTCAAGTAGCCTATCTCCTTCCTCCTTTCTGAATACTGCTACAGATGATAGACAAAAGTGCTGATGGAGACAACTGACCAGATTAGGTTTGAGAAAAGGCCTCATGGTCCCTTTTTACCTGAGACAAAACAGCATGAATTTTCCAGTAGTTTTACTTAATGCGGTTGCTTTTGCCTCGTGTTTGAAATCAAGTCTGTGGTTAGATATTGGGAGGAACTTTCTGGCTATGAGAGGGTCAAACACTGAAACAGATTAGAGGCTGTGAAATATCTCATTGAAAATTTTGAAGTGGCAGGTACAAAGACTTTCTGTCTGAGACAGGTTAGATTGGGGTGATTCACCCTTGAGCAGGGGTACTGGAATAGATGACCTCTTAAGGTCCCTTCCAGCTGTTTTTCTCCAATTCAATGTTCTGTCCCTAGGAAGAACTTCAGAAATCTCCCAGCTGAGAGGTCCTGCCTCCATGCAACACTTGTTTATATTGTCCAGAGTCCTTTTAAATCTTACTTGGGACAGAATCCTGCTTGATTCCACTAAGCACAAACAGCATTTTTGGAGGCCTGTGAAGTTGATTTTGATGATAGCAAAATGAAGGGTCGGTAGCATTCCATGAAATGTTTTTCCATGAAATTCAGCCAGTCCATCCTCACCTTGTAATTGTAATTCCCTTTGCTGCTTTGGCCTGGTCCCTCACACAGCTGATAAGGCACCCACTCCTCCTGTCCAGTAACACCCCTTGCCATTCATCTTGGAACTTGCAAATAATAGTGTCAGATATTTCACTCCTAATCTTCATTGCCTTCCTCCTGTTCTGCTCAGTGCTGGGCTACCCTTGAATGGAGACACTCAATCCTGTTAAATTGTACTGAACTGTCAGACTGAAGTGCCCACGTGGGGAATAATGTTGGAGGAAACTCATTTTCAGTTTAGACATTTCTGACATTTGGAACCAAAAGTGTCCAATGGTGAAAGACTAGTGCAATAAGCTAAGGAGCTCCAGAGACTTGCCCACTTGCAAGTAAGAAAACTTGTTATTTTGATGCAATATTTATTTGTCAGCAGAGCTGGTTTTAGGAACAAGTAATGAGGGCAATTGCTGTGGGCCCCACTAAGCTAAGTAAGTGCAAGTCATCTACTGTGGGAGTAAGAAGTGGACAAGGCTCGCATCTTGGCCTCAGACTTGCGAGGGCCCTGAGCAAGCACTGGCTTTGTTAGGGCAATCTCCCTATAAATTGCACACAGCAGGAAAAACTGGGACATTGCATTTGCTGTCTAAACAAGTCCCTCCATCTTCCAGAAAAATTTACTCTATAGATTGTGATTTCTTTTCTTTGAATTGTCATTTGTTGTTGTTATGGCAGGTTTACGTAGTGCTTTACAGACCACTAAAAGATAAAGGCTGTATATCAAGGTCTTTTCTCATTAAATTAAGATGATGTTTCATTGCTAGTTATGAGGCTCTGGATGCCTGTCCAGTGAGAACTGCACCAGGACATTCTCTCATTTGAGGGGAGAAAAAAGTATGGGAGAGGAAGGAACTGTGGATTTGTGATTTAGGTCTGGAACAGTTTATTAGAAGGTCTGGGCTCTGTTCTGGATCTGCTGCTGACCTGTGGGCTGGTTTTGGGCAACTTCATTAATTATCTGTCTCTCCATTTCCCCACTATAAAATGGAGACCATGACAATGGTCTACCTCATAGTGAGTTTGTGTAGGATTTCAGGAGCCTCAACTGCAAGGCACTAAAAAGCAGTATGTGTGGCTGTCCTGCACAAGCTATTTAATCACGTTAGCCATCAAATATTAATCATTTGCAACTGAACTCTGCAATGTATTTTTGGTATCCATCCTTCAACTTTTTTGTTCCCCAATTGCAGTCCCTCATCTCAAGAGATCTGCGCTACCTTTTGCAGACCTGGCTTACATAGTCAAAATGATTAATTTTCCATCTAGCAAAGGGAATATAACAGCATGGGGCACCAGAGAGTCCTATGAGGATCACTATTATTCAATGTTGTTATTAATCACCTGGAAAAGGGGGCTATGTTAGGTGACAGCATTTGCCAGTGAGACAAAGTTATTTAGGTGGGACAAAACTAATGCAGATCATGGAGAACTGCAGAAAGAATAAACCTCTAATAAATGCATCAAATTGGAAAACACCAGTGTGGGAAAAGGGCTATTTAAAGTAAAGGACAGTGGTAGCACAAGAACAAATGGTATGAGCTGGTATCAAATACATTTAGGTAGGAAATTAGAAGGTTTCTAACTGTTGGGACATTGAAGGTCTGGAACTGCCTCCCAATAGGAAATCTTGGCGGCACAAAAAGCTGAGCTAGTTTTTGTGAAGGGGTTTGATACAATTATGAAAGGGATGATAGCCTGTGGTTGCCAGGTTACTGGAGTGAACTATGTAAATGGTGCCTTTCCAGCCTGATGTTCCTACATAATTAAAATAGGTGATTGGGAAACATTGTGGCAGATGCTGCTCAGTGGTGACAAATGTAAAGTAATATATGCAAGAAAGACTAATTTAACTATTTCTGCACCTCAGGAATGCTAACCACACCGAAACTTCTCTCCTAGAACAGTTGGGTGCCATTGTGGACAGTTCAATAAAGATATTTATTTGATGTGTGTGTGTGGGGGGGTCTAAATAAAGATATTTATTTAATGTGTGTGTGTGGGGGGGGCATTTAAAAAGCAGATCAAATGTTAGGCTTTTTAAGGAAAAAAGAAAAAGGGAGAGATGGTAATACTGACTGCCCTTACAGAAATCTATAGTATACTTTTTCCCAAAATGGTGTGTTCAGTTCTGGTCCCTACATTTCTAAACGTGTAGCAGAAATAGGGATCTAAGACAGCCACTGACAATAATTAGACATAGAGAGAGATTAGAATATGAACAGAAATTGAATATTGATCATCGCTGTTTAGTATAAAGAGGAGATGAATAAAAGATGAGATGGTAGATGCTAAAAAGAATGCTTTCAAATGAGTGATTTAGAGACAGTAAATTGGGTGCTCCTATTTATTTTTTCTCCTAATGTATGAACTGGAGGATATCCAATGGCACTAAAGATGCTGAATTTAAAACTGATGTTAAGAAATGTATTGGTGCCTCCCCAGACACATGCACTTCCAAGTGCAAATAACTTCTAGAACTTGCTGCCAGAAGGCTTCACTGGGGCTAAATGGGATACAAGAAAAAGAACTGGGCTTTGAAGAGGTAACTTTTCCGGGGCCTTCTTATGATGCATCCAGTAATTGCCACAGACAGTTCATGGGTCTGATCCTGCATAGCAATTCCTGCAGGAAGGGGGGAGGCCCCCATGATTAATGCTGACCTGAGATTGGGACCCTCAGGTTCAAGTCCCTTGCTTTGTCCCAGACTCACTGTGTGGTTTAGGGCAGGTCACTCTGTCTCTCCATGGGTCAGTTCAGTCCGTCTGCAGCGGGGAGTAATGCCCACCTGATGGGGGCGTGGTGTGGACAGATGAGATAGTTAGGACTCCATTGGTACAGTGTGACGAGCAGAGAGAAATCAGTGTTAATTATTGAGAGGTCCAGATTTATTTCAAGTCTTGTGACATTGTGGTTGTCACTGTGCGAGATGAGGATGCTGCCTCAACATGTGATGATGCTGCATCATGCTGTGGCCATGCAAATATCCTGTATTTATCCTTACATACATTCACAGGCTTGTGCTGTCCAGACACCTGTACAGAATCTGCTAGTATAGACTAGTACCTGTGTGCATCTCTAGGAGTACACTTTTGTCTCCTTTGCTGCTGTCCCTGGCTGGTACTTAGTTTTGATTGCCTTGCTTTTCCCTTCCTCTACTCCCTCCAGTATGCTGATACTTTTCTCTTATTGGCTGGCTGGGCTCCCAGGCTGATGCTCATCTCTTCTCTTTCCCAGGGACTGCATCGCTCTGTGTTTTCTGAACAGTGGCACAAGTTTTGTGGCTGGCTTTGCAATCTTTTCCATCTTGGGCTTTATGGCTGAGGAGCAGGGAGTGCCTATTTCTGAGGTAGCTGAGTCAGGTGAGTAGGTTCTGTGTTCAGGACACAGCGAGGCCAGTCTGTGTCTGCCTGCTCCTGACATTGTGTTCCTTTTCTGCACTCTCTCTCCAAGAAAAAGGTTCACATAAAGAGCAGAGCAATGTACAGAGAGGTAGATAGATACCCACCTCCAAACTGCTGGCCCTATAGTAATGAACTCTACCCTAACTAGACTTATTGCAACTGCAGGTCCAAATCTCAGCAGAGTCCACTCATCCTCCTGAGGTAGGAAAGAAATGTCTCAGAGTGTTTACTGCATGAGGATCTCTTTAAGAGCTAAAGCCAAGTCTGCCTTGCCTGGGTACTAAGGCTCTTTTCAGAGGGTTTTGTTCCATCCCTCAGCTATCATGATGGAATTGGAGCCTACTGTGGCTCTTCTCCACTCCCCTTGGTCCTGTAGATGTAGCCTGCTCTTGTTCCTCCACTCTCTGTCCCCCAGCACTGAAGCCTTTTGGTCACTGGCTGCTAGCGACAGGGAGTGCCTTGTGGAAGGTGAGTATGTACTGTGCAGCTGGATGGACCTGAAGACCAGTTCTGAGCAGTGCTGAGCTGCTATGATGACCTCTTCTTCCCTTTCTTAGAGGCTGCTAGTACAGCTGCTGGCTTTCAGATCTGGCCATCACTACCTGCCATAAATTACCTTCTCTTTTCAGGGCCTGGTCTGGCATTTATTGCTTACCCTCGAGCAGTGGTCATGCTGCCTTTTTCCCCACTCTGGGCCTGCTTTTTCTTCCTGATGGTCGTTTTGCTTGGACTGGATAGCCAGGTAAAGACACATGCACACATTTGTCCCTCTTGACTGGCAGATAGACAGTCCCATTGAACTTTGTGATTCCATGGCTAGGCTGATAGCTGTCCCCAAGCCTGCTTGTTTAAAACCAGCCTGGATATGTTTTTGATTGCACACTCTTTGAGGAAAGGACTGTTTCAGAGCCTGGGCACACAACATTCTACTGTCATTTGCAATAGCTTTGGACAGCCATGTAAATCACAGCAGAATCAGAAGCAGACTAACCAGCAGCTTATTCCAGTATTACAGTATTGTAGACTGAAATCTTCCCCTTGCCAATTATGCCTGTTTATCTTGTGCAATATCTGCCCTGGAGTGTACATAAGACACACAACCTCTACAGTGTTGTACAGTATGCTAGTGCGGTTTTATTACTGAGGCTCTCAGGGGTAATTGTACACCAGGTTGGGTGACATTTTCCAGTTTGGGTGCAGAGGTTTGAACCATCTGCACACTCATTGAACCATCTGCACAGTAATATAAAAAGTTACACGGTGTAGACATTCTTCTGTGTCCAGCCTCTTAGTCGGTGCTTGCAGTACCAGTAGGGCCCAGTCTGAGCTGCAGCCTCTAGTGCCATGACCTTGAGTCTCCCCATTCCAGAAGGCATGGGGACAGTTTCTTGGCTGTGTAGGAAGGGATCTGGATAGATGTCCTGTAAACTGTGCAGCCCCCATGCAGTACCCATAGCTTATTCAAAGATCACAGGATCACAGAGTGTTTGGGGCATTCTCTGGGCTTCAGGCTTTGCAACACCCATGTGCTGAGAGTGGGGGAATGAAGAGTAGAGGAGCAATGAAGCTGGTGTGATACGAGTGAGCTGATGGGCACGTGAATTCTCCTCTTCCTAGTTTGTCTGTGTGGAGAGCCTGGTGACAGCCCTTGTTGATATGTATCCTAACATCTTCCGGAAGAAAAACCGCCGAGAGACCCTCATTCTACTTGTTTCCATCCTTTCATACCTGATAGGACTGATTATGCTTACTGAGGTAGGTTACAGCTCATAATCTGTGCGGTGCTCTTGTCATGCCCAACTGAAATCAGAACAGAAAGAGGGCCCTAGGCCCTGTGGGTGGCCTGGGAGCATGTCATTTTTCCTGATGCTCAGTGGGTCAGTGCTCAGATGGGAGACCCAAAGAAGGCCAATAGGTGCTGTTAGATGTGTTGTTACTGGGTCAGCAGCAGGGATCCTGGCTTTCTCAGATAAAAGTAGCAAATTCTCTAGTACAAAAAAAATTGCGAATTGCAAATTCTCTGTGAATACTGAATACAATGTTCAGTATTCAACTGAAACATTGTATCAGTTGAATACAATGTTTTACTGATGTGTATACAGTTTTTAAGAAATTTGGAAGCCTACCAGTGCCTCAATTACTCTAATAAAATAAATTCTAAATACCTATATATTTTGACATTTCATTTTGGGCTTTTCATCATGGAAAATCAGAGTTCTTGCTGCCCCCCTCACTTACCAGGACGTGGGTCTATCTGCAGTTGCCCCCACCTCCCCACTGCTTTGTGGTGCTGAGCAGCCCTGATATGCTGTTGTCCCGCACTCCCAAGTCACAGTCCCCACAGCCCTGTCGGTGCCTCTCACTCTGTGTACCCCCAACTCGCTCCCTCCTGGCAGCAGCTTCCCTTGTGCACCAGGATGTGGGGCCAACTGTGGCTGTCCCCCCAGTTACTTTGTGGCACTGAGCAGCCGTGACAAGCCAGTGCCCTGCCTATGCCATTGCCCCTCAGTCCCAAGCTGCAGCCCCTGCCTGCCCCCCACTTGCATTCTCACTGCAGCATCTCCCCTGGGTGTGGGTGTGGGGTTTGTGGTGGCGGGAGGTGTGTGCAGGGTTTGTAAGTTGGTGTGGGCCCCCCTGCCACAAATTCCCCCCTGCACACACACATTCCCCTCCTATGCTGTACAGCCCCCACTGCCGGCAGCTCAGCAGCAGCAGGCAGCAGGCTTTTGGGGCACTCATGGCTGTGTCAGGCCAAGCCCCTGGTGGCGCACAGCTCCAGCTGAGTCCCAGGGCCTGCGTGTGCTGGCATTGAAGCTGGCCCAGCCTGCCAGTGGGCACCTTTGGACCAGACCAGGTTGGCTTCCTGCCAGCACATGCGGATTGTAGCACCACAGGTGGGAGCCACATGCCATCAGGCTGGGCAGGCTCTGTGCCTGCATGGGTGGCTTCCTGCCGGTGTGCTGGAAGCCCCTCCATGGAGGCACGGAGCTGGTCGTAGGGCTTCTAGCACTCCAGTAGGAAGCCACCCATGGAGCCTGCCTGGACTGATAGTGCATGACTCTGTGCCTCCATGTGTGGCTCCCGCCTAGCCTGGTGGCATGCAGCTCCTGGTCCACACGCCATTGGGCTGGCTGGCCCTTGACATGGGGCTTCCCACAGACACCTCCCCACTCCCTCAGCCCCCACCCACACACCCCCACCTTGCCCCCTACCTGCTCTGCTGGCTCTTCCCATAGCCTCACCCCCAGCCCTGCACCTACACCTGCACCCTCCCCACACGGCCCCCTCACCCAGCACTGCTGGTACCCCCCCATCCCTGACCCCAGCCACCCCAGACCACTGGGGGGTCCCCAGCTGGCCCCCAGCCTGCTGCAAGTCCCACTTACCCCAAAGACTCCTGGAGGGAAAGTGAGCCTGAGCCAAGCCCTGGCTGCCTGAGAGTCTCAGGCCCTGTCCCCTCCCCCTTTCTCTCTCCATTGGGACAGGGCTTAGGGTCTGCCACCCTTTTTGCAAGAAGCCCTTGCATGCTTGCACTCTGCCAGCCTGCAGAGAGCTCTTTGCAAACTTGGAAAATCTGTGGGTATCTCCATTAAAATTAAAAACCCACTTTTTTTTCTCTGTTAAAAGGAAAAATCTGTAGTTTTTTTTCCATTTTTCTGAGGGAAATGGAAAACCTGGATCCCTAATCAGCAGGTAGTGCTTTTTCCTCTGAACTTGGTACAAATTGCTAGTGGGCACACTCATGCTGGAGGTGTCAACTTTTGGGTAAGGTTTTAAAGTGGCCTGTAGTGGACTTCTAACATCCTGGGGTGTCTTCTAACAAAGTGGGGATAGTGATCCACCCAATTCCAACCTAGGGAACTGCAGTTTTCTTCCCCTGTGATACTTTTCAGATATTGCATTTTTCCCTTCCTGTCCTAAACTCTTGGATCCTGCTGCTCTGTGGACATGTAGCCTGGACATCCATCCCACCTTGACTTCAGAGTGAATTGCTAGAAGTTAAGATTCTGGTCACTCTTTTGCGAAGCAAAGAAAGCTGTAGCCCCATCTCAGTTGCAAATTAATTGAGACCTTTTGCCCTCCTTCCTCCTACCTGACTAGCTAGCAGTTTGCATTTACAGTGAAATATGATGGGACTTACTCTGACCTTGTGTACATCAGTGAAATTCTGCTGGTGTACAAGCTGGGATGAACTGGAATCGTGCCTGGTTTCCATGTTAGCAGAGGAAGGGGCTATTGTCCAGGGGCTGGTGGTCTGTCTTTGCCTCTTCCTGCATTTCTTTGAGCCTGATTTTGAACAGCTGCCTCTAGCTTTGCACTGGCACTTTTGGGCCTGGAATTCACTACAGCAGTGCCTGCAGATCAAGGAAGGTAAGTACCTGAAGGGCCAAGAGGTGAGCCCATGATGATCAGTGCCTGAGGAATTCATGCATAGTCTGATGCATATTTGGAGGCTGAGTTTGGAAAATCAGGGACACTAAGCCTTTTTGCCTTTGAGGTGTCTTTCTCTGTCTCTGTCAGACTTATTTTTTCCACTCTCTCTTAACTTTGGCCTTTGACACCGTCTCTCACCCCATCCTAGTTAAAAAACTAGGCAACTGTGGCATAGATGCCTACACAGTCAGATGGATTGCAGATTGGCTGAGGGGTCGCACTCAGAGGGTGGTGGTGGATGGGTCATATTCGACCTGGGGGGAGGTGGGTAGCGGAGTCCCCCAGGGCTCGGTCCTGGGGCCTGCGCTGTTCAATTTCTTCATCAGCGATCTGGATGATGGGGTGGAAAGTAACCTGTTTAAATTCGCTGATGACACCAAAATCTGGGGGGAGGTGAGCACGCTAGCAGGGAGGGAGAGATTGCAGAGGGATCTGGATAGGTTACAGGGGTGGGCTAACAGGAACAGGATGCGTTTTAACACGGACAAGTGCAGGGTGCTGCACTTGGGCAGTAGGAACCAGCAGCACACTTATACAATGGGGAACTCCTTACTCGAGAGCACGGAGGCAGAAAGGGATCTTGGAGTCATTATTGACTCCAAGATGAACATGGGCCGACAATGCGAGGTCATGGTTGGCAGGGCTAACCGGACCTTGTCGTGCATCCACAGGTGCATCTCGAGTAGAGCCAAGGAGGTGATCCTCCCCCTCTACGCGACGCTGGTCAGGCCACAGCTGGAGTATTGTGTCCAGTTCTGTGCGCCCCATTTCAAGAGGGATGTGGACAACATGGAGAGGGTCCAGAGGAGGGCCACCCGCATGATCCGGGGACAACAGGGCAGACCCTACAGTGAGAGACTGCGGGACCTGAACCTATTCAGCCTCCACAAGAGAAGGCTGAGGGGGGACCTGGTGACCGTCTATAGACTCACTAGGGGGGACCAGAAGGGTTTGGGGGAGACGCTGTTTCCCCTAGCGCCCGCTGGCATAACAAGGAGTAATGGGCACAAGTTGATGGAGAGGAGGTATAGATTGGACATCCGCAAAAACTACTTCACAGTTAGGGCGGCTAGGAGCTGGAACCAACTTCCAAGGGAAGTGGTGCTGGCCCCTACCCTGGGGGTCTTTAAGAAGAGGCTGGATGCCTACCTGGCTGGACTCATTTGAGTCCCGTTTCTCTTTTTGGGGTTTTTTTGTTGTTCTCCCGCCCTGGCGGGGGGTCGGGCTAGACGATCTACTAGGTCCCTTCCAACCCTTAATCTATGAAACTATGAAACTATTAACTAGCCACAGGTGCCCAGATAGACAGTAACTTGCCTTTTTGCTTCTCATGGAAATGAAGGTCTATAGATGGAGCACAAATGGTCTACTGAAAGTGGGATTTTGAGGCAGGTCCCTGGCACTGTTTCATATTTGGGGTATAAGGGGAGTGGCTTTTTCTGTTTGCGGTTGACTGAAATTGTGCTGTAAGGGGGCAGAAAGTCACCAAGGATTCTTGGTAGAATGGAGCTGGTTCTTTCTCCGGATAAACCTCTTTACTAGTCCTGGATTTAGATTTCTCTCTCCTCTCTCCATTCCCTACCCTCTTTCCCCTTCCCAGGGCGGGATGTATGTTTTCCAGCTATTTGATTATTATGCTGCCAGTGGCATGTGCCTGCTCTTCGTTGCCATCTTTGAGACGCTCTGTATTGGCTGGGTGTACGGTAAGTGGGAGTTGGTGAGTTTTAATGACTCAGAGCCTTCTATCCAGTTCTCTGTGGGGCTGGTCTCTCAATCAGTCCACAGGTCTTCTTGATAAACCTGATACCCTTGTACCTTTCCTTTTATGTGTCCTTGCTTGAGCATCCTGGGATGAAGACGGTGGGAGGTTGTGCCTCACAGCAGTGCCTAGTGGGAGTTGGCTGGACTCCTGCAAGAGAAGCTACCTCTTTTACTGTTGTTCCTTCTATTAATAGGGTACCTTTTCCCTTCTCCTCAGGAGCTGACCGTTTCTATGATAATATTGAAGACATGATTGGCTACCGGCCATGGCCTCTCATCAAGTACTGCTGGTTATTCATCACACCAGCGGTCTGCCTGGTGAGAGCTGGCAGGACACTGGGGGCCACCAGGGTGCATCTGGGATGGGTGGAACTGGGTTTTGGCAACTGTGGGAGTGGGGAGACTGGGTTGCTGTTCATAGTGCTTGGGTCCCTGTCTTGGGACTAAGTTAAATAGGTAGCAATTATGGTGTGAAACTGTAGTGGGGGAAGAAGCAAAGATTGTAATATAATGAGCTGTCTTGGGGTGTCTTGTCACAGTATCTGTGAAGGACAACAAGAGCCCTATGACCGTTGACTGCTCCTTTGGGTGAAGTGGCCCATGGTTTGGAAATCTGCTTCTGTGTGAATGGATTAAATGATCCCCACGGCAGCTGTATGTGCCCAGGACATGGTTTGGTCATGGAATAGCTGGGAGCAGATTACCAGACAGTAGCTATGACTACTGCTAGGGCAAGCTGGTTGAGATGTAGTGGGCATTTGCTGCTGGGTCAGTGGCAGCACAGCAGGTTTGACTGATACCCTGATTCCTGCTGTCCTTCTAAGGAAGGTAAGGTCCCTAGGGAGACCATTTTGGTTAGCTAGATTGCTTTCCTCTCCTCCTCTTTTCTTGGCCCCTTTCACCCCAACAGGCAACCTTCCTGTTCTCTTTGATTAAATACACACCACTGACTTACAACAAGAAGTATGTATACCCCTGGTGGGGAGATGCACTGGGCTGGCTGCTGGCCCTCTCATCCATGGTGTGCATCCCTCTTTGGATCCTCTACAAGCTCTCCACAATCAAGGGCTCCCTGAGAAAGGTAAGGCTGCTGCTCCTGGGTCAGGATACAGGCTGGATTGGGGCTGTGGGGGACTTGAAAAGCTGCTGGTGTAATGGAATGATTGCCTCACAAAGCAGCCTTGGTGTGGTATTAATAGTATCTTGAATTAATTTACTGAGGCTTAGTCTCTTACTCTGAAGAATGAGCGGCATCATTGAATTCAGGCTGGCTGGAGGGCTGTTCAGAGCTGTCTTGCATCCTGTGCCTCTTAGTATTGACTCATCTCTTAAACTGCTGCCAGTACACAGCTCTGTGGAAGGTGGACAGATCTACATCATTGGGTGGGAGGGACATCTGGCATATAGACACCACAGAGTGCAGGACTGGCTAGGCCACACAGTGGGACCTCTAGGCTGTGCTTATGCTGTAACAGAGGGCAGCAGTGCCACCACTGGAAGCTTGAAGCCACCTGTGCATGCATTTTTGCAGTATTTGGGGGCAGTGAGGTACCTGCTCAGCCTCTAGTACCTCTAGTACAAGCTAGAGCTTACTGTCCAGTAGTTATGTTGTGGTTCTCATGGCCCAGTGTGGGAAGCAGAGGCCTGCTAGAACACAGCATGCTTGGACCATGTTGTGAGGTCCCTCACTCCTTCAATGAGGCTCCCTGGGGCTGCAGAGGAGTATTAGTAAAAAGCATTCATGTTGGCTATGCTGGAACCATGAGCACTGGGAAATTCCCAAGCTTTTTTGCAAGACTTCCTGCACCCCAGAGCAGTGCATGGGGATAGACTGGAACAGAGGACTAGCTTGGAGTCCCCATGGTCTGCATATCCAGACAGAGGCAACTCTGCTTTCTGCAAGCCTTCCATTGGCAAACTTCTGCTGATGTCAGTGGAAGGCGAGTTATTGCCTGTATGCTGGTGCTATGTGTGGCTCTGGGATTCCTGCAGCCTTGACCACCAGAGGGATAAGTTTGAGCGCTGCTGCTTGGAAGAGGTGTAGGGGATGATTGGTCCCATAGTCGCCTGTTGGTACTGTGGAGAGAATGGATCCCTTGTTTAAAAAAACAAAACAAAACAAAACAAAAAAAAAACCAAACCCCAAAATCCTGGGTTGATGCTTTGGCACTTGCCTGTATTTTGGCTATTCAAAGTCCTGGTCAGGAGCAGGAAAAGGAGCCTTTCCCACTCCGTACCCAGAACTCACACAAGTGCAGGGGTATTCAGCTGAGGGCAATCTCCAGAGGGTTCCAGCATTGAGGTTGGCTCCAGCTCTTGTTTAAATTACTGTGTGCACGTGTGCTGGCCAGGGTAACTCTAGAGCAGGGCTGCTCAACTTTCAACTCATGGGCTGCATCCGGTTCCTAAGGTTTTAACTTGTGGCTCCTGGTTCAGGTGCTGCTTCTGCTGGAGCTGGTCAGGTGACTTTGGGGAACCCAGTGCCATGTGGTGCTGTGTGCTGGGTATGGGGACTTTGGCATGGTGCAATGGGGAGAGGGAGCTCTCAGCACTGTGTGGCGTGGTGTGCAGCCAATGTGGCATGTGGCCGGGGGGGTCTGCAGCCCTGGGCGATTCACAAGTTGGACAATCGTGGTCTAGGACATCCCTGGCATTTAAAGACAGATGTTCTACAAGGGAGGCTTGAGGTGTCATGAGTTATTCAGATCTCAGGCTGATTTTTTCCTATGACTACAAAGCTCCTCCTTGCCCCACTGCTGTGTGCTGTCCTTGCTAGAAGGGGGCTGGTGGGGTGGGCAGGACCCTTTCCTGCAGGTCAGTTGACTGTCTGATTTTTGCCTTGCAGAGGTTTCGCCAGTTAATATGCCCAGCTGAGGACCTGTCTTCCAGGCTGGGTGTGGGGCAGCCCCCTCCTTCCACCAGAGCTGGTATCTTAATGCTGACAGAGCTTGGTTCTAACTGCTAGGGCCCGCACAGCCCTGTGGATTGTTGTGTGCACCCCTTCTACCTGTCTGATAACCCAATGATTCTCCTCTTGCCAAGGGGAGAGGGACTTGTGAGCCAGCCTCCCTTTCCTGGAAGATTTGATGTGCTCAGCAGGGGCTGCCATGGAACGGTCACCAGGGACACTGTGGAGCGAATGATGCACCTTAATTCCTTCCCTGGAGAATGTGTCCCGGAGCCAATTCAAGCCAGGACTGAGCCCTGGAGTGGAGATGGTTGGAGTCTTACAGAGGGGCGTTTTTTCCCATGTGGACTTTGGGGACTTCTCCATTCATTCCATTAAACACTTGTTCTTTCTACTCCAAAGTGGCTCTGACTCCATTTTGTCCATTGCATTCTCTTTACAGGGGACTACCTCCCCGCTCAAGGAGTCCTTGTCACTTAGAGGCTGGTGCTTTTGCCCAGAGCTGCCCTGGGTTTGTTTGGCTAGTGCAACCTCTGTAGGCAGAGGTGCTGGTTGTTCTGATGGCCAAGAGAGCCTTGGCAATGAGGGGAGTTGCTAGTGTTATTATCCCTTTGCTCCCTTCACTCCCCTCCCAGAACTAGCAAAATATGCCGTACCCTGCCATAGAGGAAGACATGGGGATGGCCCTCAGGGGCCCCAAATAAATAAATCCATTTTTTGGGCCCCAAATAAATCCAAAGAAAACTAGTAAATACCAAGCAAGTGCTATTCATAACCATACTTCTGAAACTCAAGAGTCCTGTCTATTGCAAGTCAGGAGTGATGCTTATTGGCAGAGTTGTGTTGTGGGGCCTGAGATGGATGCAATGGGAGGTACATTGGAGCAGGAGCAGGATTTGCTGGCAGAGACTTAGAGAGAGGGACTGATCTTAGGGCTGAAATAACAGGGAGCATTCACAGGCCAAGGGCTACAATATAAGAGCAGACAAGGAAGTCCTTTTGCACAGGACTTAGATGCATGGGTAGAGCTGGGGTGCTTCATGCCGACCTGGATTTACATTAGAGCTGTGCGGGCCCCTAGGACTAGAAGAGCAGTTGGTGACTGGTATGTTGGTAGGTGTGCACAGGAGGCCAGGAGTGAGGGATACTTTGCTGGGCTGTCCAGCACAAGGGAAACCAGGAACCCTGATTAGATTAGATCTATGCAGGGCAGGTTCCTGGATAAATATGCTGGGTGGGTGGTAAACCCTTACATTGTGCTACTTGTCTCCAGAGACCATGTACCCCTTTTACCCTCTTTTCACAACCTGAAAAGTTCTGGAAACCACAAGGAGTTGACAGACTACTCCAAGGCCCCCAGCTCTCTGGGGACTGTGGGGGAATCCATACTGGTACTACTTATGATCCATTCTGCCAGTGCTGTTGCTTGGGGATATCTAATGGATGAATAATCATAATCTCCTCTGCAAGTCTTGCCAGTAGCCACAAGGTGGCCTCACTACTTCAGGGACTGTTGATATTCTAGCAGCAGTTTTAAAAATGTCAGTCCTGTGCATCCATCACTGAGCAGGCTGACATTGTTGGAAGATTGTGAAAGTAACCACATTGTCATCCTGGAAATTGTCTTCCCAACTCCTGAGTGCAAAGAGGAGCTCAGCCCAGCCACTATTAGGTTTCTTATTACAAGCCCCCAGTGCAGTAATGCCCAAAGGAGGTTTCTTTAGGGTTTCATAGATAGATGTTAGGGTCAGAAAGGACCTATTAGATCACTGAGTCTGACCGCCTGCCCCAGGCAGGAATGAGTGCTGGGGTCAGAGGACCCCAGCCAGGTGTCTGTCCAATCTCCTTTTAAATACCTCCAAGGAAGGGGACAGCACCACCATATTCCATATTTTGGCAGCCTTCACTAAAGAATTTCTTTCCGATATCCAATCTGAATTTGCTCTCTTCCAGTTTGTGGCCATTATTTCTAGTTACCCTGACAGGCACCTTGGGGAGCATTGTATCTCCTATTTCTTGCTGCCCCCTCCCTGATGAGTTTGTAGGCAGCCACAAGATCACCTCTCAGCCTCCTCTTGTGGAGGCTGAAGAGGTTCAGGTCTCCCAGTCGGTCCCCACAGGTTTTTTTCTGTAGGCCTTCAACCAGACAAGTGGTCTTTCTCTGAACCCTCTCCAGGCCATCCACATCCCCGCTGAAGCACGGTGCCCAAAGCTGGATGCAGTACTCCAGCTGCGGCCTGACCAATGCCACATAAAGGTGAAGTATCACCTCCCTAGACCTGTTTGTGATGCACCTACTTATGCAAGAAAGGGTGCGGTTAGCTTTACTTATTACCTCATCACACTGGTGACTCGTGTTCATTTTAGAGTCAACTACAACTCCGAGATCCCTTTCCGCAGTTGTGCTACTTAGAGTGGTACCTCCCAGGCTGCAGGAGTGTGGATGACTCTTCCTCCCCAGATGCAACACATGACACTTATCCTTGTTAAACTGCATCCTGTTCTGTTTGGCCCACTTCCCCAGCCTGTCCAAATCAGCCTGGATTTGCTCCCTGCTGTCTAGTTTGTGTACCTCTCCCCTACAGTTTGGTGTCATCAGCAAACCTGGACAGGGTGCTTTCTACTCCCTTGTCCAAGTCACTAATGAAGCTATTGAATAGTACCCCAGGACAGAGCCTTGGGGGACTCCGCTGCCTACATTTCTCCAGGAAGAAACCAACCCGTCCACCACCACCCTCTGGGTGCATCCCATAAGCCAATTTTCTACCCACTGGATTGTGTAATAATCTATGTTGCAACTGTTTAATTTATTTATAACAATTGGGTGTGACACACTGTGTCAAAGGCCTTTTTAAAGTCTAAGTAAATAACATCTACCTGTATTCCTTCATCCAAGCAGTGTTCCTTTAGGTGCTCAATGCCCTGTTTATATTTGAGTTGTCTAATAAAAGAGATCAGAGTTACGCAAAGAATCTTGTCTGGTTATCTTAATTGATCAGATCAGCCCCCCTGAGTGCTAATCCAGTCCTAAAATCTGATGAAGTAGGTTGTTTTCTTATTGGGACAACTCATGCCTGTCTGAACCAGTTAGGGCAGAGCAGCACCTCAGAAGCTACCTTTTGTCTGACTTCAGACTACCACAGTTCACCACTTCTTTTTTCCATAGGGCAAACCTGGCTAGATGTATTCTGGGGGGTTTGTCTTCTGCCAAAGTACGAGAGATCTGATCACAGCTGGCTGTGGGATATCAGACTGGGTTGAGCAGTGTCCTGAGAGAGTACTGAAAATCCTCCTCTTTTAAATGTTATCTTTCTTTTTCATGTTTAGATCTTAATTTCATTGCTCAAGGTCCTACTGAACACCAGAAGGTATTTCCCCTGTATCAGATTGGCAGGGAACTGTTGTGAGGTTTTGCCTACTTCTAATATGGGGTGGGGTTCACCTCCAAGGATCCTCAGAGTGCCTCTTGCCACATCAGTTCTCTGCCCTCCCAAGTCCTGTTCACTGCCCATGGCATGCAACAGTTTAGTCTCCTGAGGACTGAAATATTTTAGTCTATTTCAAGTTAAGCCCAAGGGATCAATATAGGGGTATTTGATTATAACTGAATGGCCTTTGATAGACACAAATTCAGCCTAGGTAATCTAATGGTCCTTTTTGGCATGGAACTATGGCAAAGTCCAAAGAATTGAACAAATCTTTTGGAAGGATTCTTAGGACTCCACAATATGACAGTACTCAAACAGCAAGTGCAGGACTATCTGATACAGCTCCTACATTGCTTCATCCAGAAGAGATGTTCTTCTAACTCATTCACCTGTGGCTGCAGTTTCCCCTTTCTAGAGGGGCAGAGTGTGAGGGATGGCCCTTAGAGACTTGGTTTCCTGTGCCTAGAGAAAAAGGCTTGATTTCCGCCCCTTGGAATTATGCATGACATTGGGAAAACTTGGATTCATTCAAGGGTTTTATTTGCATGCGTGGCTTCTGTTGTCATCCCCTGCATTGTGCCATTTAGAGGATCAGCCAAAGGCCCTTTCTGGAAGAGAAGGTCTTGGGGCCAGGGCACAGGTCTAGGAGTCATGAGAAATGGGCTCAGGTCCAGGCTCTGTGTGACCTCTCCTCTTGCACACCATGTAGCCTCTCAGTTTCCTCCATCTGTGACATGGGGAGTACACCACCCACCCCGTGATGTAAGGATTCAGGTCTAAAAAGTGTGTTGAAATCTGTGGCAAAGACTCCTAAGGAAAATTCCCAGATAATTGAAAGGGGATGAACTCAAAAGGACCCCACATGAAATTAATAGTGACCTGTAGTACTTTTACTCTGTGATTCCAGTGGAATCCGATCAAGAATTAAACCCTTTCTTTTGGATTTTGTGGAGATCCTGCCAGAGACCTCAACTGTGGAGTTATTGTTGTCTATAAAATTGTTCAGGATTGCTCAGAGAAAAACATCTACAGAGATTTTAATGTTTCTGTTCATCTCTCTAAGACTTTTCTTCTGAAAAACTGTTGTTTATCATTTACAGTCACCTTCAGGAATGGCTTGTGTCTGAAATCCAGTGAGTTTCATACATGCAGAGTGGTAGTCTGCTAAGAGGGTTCCACCTCAGTTTGGTTATCAAAACAGTCCTTTTTCCAGTGACTCTGATGTCTGAGTAAAACCAAAAAACCCCAAACCCAGTAAACCATGGTATGAATATGAATCTAAGACGCACTTTTTTCTTTCTATGATGTCACACATCATAGAAAGGAGCACAATGGAGCAGAATCTGTTCTGTGGACCTCTGTGGGATTTTTTCACCTTCGTCTGAAGTACTGGACGTTGGCCACAGCTGAGGATTGGGGTTTTGGACTGGGGACTTACTGGTAAGTAGGGCCTTAGGTTCCTGACTAGGAGATATAGCTCTTCTGCTCAGGGTCACACCAATAAACAAATTTGGGGTCAGGAAGGAATTCCCCCCCACAGATTAAATTGGCAAGGTGGGTGTGGCTGGGGTTTTGTCTTTCTCTATAGTGCAGGGCATGGTTTCTTTCTAGGATCCTGTAAGCATGCATTAAAAAACATTGCTTATCTGCCATTGCAGTGGCATTGGCTGTGCCCGTGTCTCCTGCTTTTATCTGTGGCACATGGCAAGGTGTTTATGGTGTTTTCCAGTTTTGTGCCTCATCATTGTGTTGTGCAATGTTTTGGAGTGGACTGTTTTTAGGCATCTTTGGATAAATGAATGTCTACATATGAAAGCACTGGATGCAATGGCCTGGGAGGCCTCTTCCAGTCCCACCTTTCCCTATATTGGTGCAGTTGTTCCGGCAGGGGGTTGAATTTGACATGAGCAAAGTTTTGGGAGTCTCTTTCTGGAAGGGGTCAGTTACTGTCTACAAAGGATGGACT